CATGGTTTTGGTGGTTTTGGTGGAGGAAAGGGCACAAGCACTACAGCTGCACATGGTTTTGGTGGTTTTGGTGGAGGAAATATTCGAACTCCAACAGCGTCTGGTGCTGTTCATGGTAGCGGCGGAGTGGGGAAAGGTGCAGCTGTTTTTGGTGGAGGAAATGTAACAAGCAGTACGGGCTTAGGCCTAGGTGGCGGGTCATTTGGCTTTGGTGGACCTCCTATGACAAGTGGTTTTGGAGGTTGTGCAAACAGTTCTTCCGGATTTCAGCACGCAAGTTATGGATTTGGCGGTGGTGTTGGGGGAGGCAATTTGGACGCTCAAGGAGGAGGGTCGCAAACGAACAATGTCGGCACGGCAAATGGCGACTCCAATATCTTCCATTAGGCGGAGGAAGGCTTGCGTTTTATGATTTTTAAGGATGTTTGTTCAACTTCGTGTAGTGTTTAGCCGTTTTGCATAGTAGGGGGGTCTTAAGCTGGGTTTGTGTGGTCAAGTGATTCATATTCCGTTTCTGTTTTCAGAAATGGTTACACTTGTATGGCGCCTTCGGATTTCTAAGGGGAGGAGTTACGGCGCGGGAATTTGGTGTTGCGAAGTCAGTGGGATGTCGAGCAGTACCTTTTTCAGGCCCAGGCCGCGCGCACAGCATGTCTTTTGTCGAGTGGGCCTATAAGTTAAGTAGAGTATGGTCCTCGACTCACAGGGTGGGGAACATAGCGGGCTTTCTCAAGTGGAGAAAGCCAGCGCGATGTTGGCACAAATGTGAGTGCGGAAATCTAAGGGTGTTGTAGTTCTTCGTATGAATTACCAGATTATAGTGGGGAAGCTGCGGACTCGGAGGCATATCCAGTGCCAGAAGATTTGGATTATATCGGGACGCGTGAAGAAGGTGAGCCTGTAAGTTCTGATGCGGCTGCAAAGAGTTGAGGAGACCCTAAAAGAGTGAAACGTCGTTTGCAAGGAATGAAATAATTACTTTTGGCATATTCTTTTTCCCCGTATGTAGAAGAAACATAAGAGGTTCTTACTTGTGGAACATGGATTGCTTTGATTTCAAGGTTGTTGTTACTTTTAAGTTAACATAATAATAATAATCGATTATTTTCATTTCATAGTATACCAACCAATGTGTTTGTCCTGGTCATTTTCCTCTGTGGTAGAACAATCATATGGCGATTAAAGAAGGAAGAAGGTGACTGAAGAGAGAATGACGGAAGAAAGGAATTTAGTTGGATCTGGTTGATTTGTATTGTTCTGAATGTGAAGCATGATTTTATAGTTCAACACGGAGGACGAGAGCTAATTGGCGATGTAATGATTAGGTGTCGCGCGTTCGTACAACGCCGCGCACCTCGGATGTGTATCATCCAGATTTTGTTATCTGTGTTGGGAGCGGATACGAGGATCTTTCATAGTCCAGAAAATAATTTTTCATCCAGATTTTGTT